TGGCTTGTTCCTTGACTACACTTCCACTTGATGCCAACATGCAACCATTCATTGCCAACCTTTGGCTTGTTCCTTGATTACTCTTCTGCTTGATCTCAGCATGCAACCATTCATTGCCAATCTTTGGCTTGTTCCTTGACTACACTTCCACTTGATGCCAACATGCAACCATTCATTGCCAACCTTTGGCTTGTTCCTTGATTACTCTTCTGCTTGATCTCAGCATGCAACCATTCATTGCCAATCTTTGGCTTGTTCCTTGACTACGCTTCCCCTTGATCCCAACATGCAACCATTCATTACCAACCTTTGGCTTGTTCCTTGACTACGCTTCTGCTTGATCCCAACATGCAACCATTCATTACCAATCTTTGGCTTGTTCCTTGATTACACTTCTGCTTGATTCCAGCCTGCAACCACCTATTATCAACCTTTGGCTTGTATACTGACAATGCTTCTGTTTGAATCTGCTTTATCTGCTACTGGACCCCAGCTTGCTAACCTCCTGGTGGGGCGATCCTGAGGACAGTGACTTGGTACATGCAGAAAAACCCATCTCCGCCATGCCCATGTCATCCACCTGGGTGACCTGTTTGTGTACTTAACCATCCGGTCAGTGGGAGCCTCTCTCCTGTTATAGCTACTGGTCACCGAACTACTGGTCTCCGAGCCTGAACTCTAAGCGTGACAGTAAATGAGTCACATCTCAGGAGACCCAAAACTCTAAAGAGATTTGTCTACCTTTCAAGGAGTGGTGTACACCTTGCCATAGACATTGTGGCATCAGATCACCAACTCATTTTCATGGTAATTAATTATAATAGAGGTCAAATGTGCATAATCCAGATTGGTGTAATATAGAGATGGGGGTCACTTTATGTATTTTGTCTTATTGCACATCGAACTGCAATAAGGGTGACATGATCTCGTCTAGATCTTGGTAAAAAAAAGAGAAGAGGGATCCCCCATTACTGGGTGGTGTGTACAATATGTCTCTGGTATAATTGGACTCGTAATATAGACTAGACAGTCATATATTTCTGTCCCCCTTGGTGGGAGTGGAGGTGACCCCTCTATGAGGACATACAGTCCATACACACCCAGCACAAGGCCGGGGTCACACTACCAGACGGTTCTCGGGGCTGCAGTTCCTCTGAGCTCCACAAGGTGGTTATCTCACTTCTACCCAGACAGGAAGTCTCTATGGAAGGCAGACAGGAAGTGATGTTTGGTGAAGACAAGAAGTTCCAAGTGAGAGTTGAGTTGGAAGGAAGTAGAGAGGAGACATTGCTGGAACTGGCAGTTGAGGAGGTAATAAGATATTATAATCATCGTTATTTTTTTTTTTAAAAAACATATTTCTCTATCCAAATGTATTCTGAGACTTTATTGGTTGGGGTGGACAGAGCCTTAATGTGTATCTACAGGCAAAATGTTTTTTCATTTGGACTGTGAAAGGATTAGTACCCTTTCGCCAGGTTCTTATCGCTGTGTGCATTCCGGTTAGGAGGATCGTTCCTCTTCATTTGTCCTGGTGGTCATTGTCCCCGGGATGGATTAGACTTCCTCTGTCAGGTTCTTCCTCCCGATATGTCCTGGTGGTCATTGTCTCCGGGATGGATTAGACTTCCTCTGTCAGGTTCTTCTTGATATGTCCTATTGGTCATTGTCCTACTTCCTCTGTCAGGTTCTTCCTCTCGATATGTCCTGGTGGTCATTGTCTCTGGGATGGATTAGACTTCCTCTGTCATGGTCATTGTCTCCAGGATGGATTAGATCTTCTCTGTCAGGTTCTTCTCGATATGTCCTGGTGGTCATTGTTCTCTGGGATGGATTAAACTTCCTCTGTCAGGTTCTTCCTCTCGATATGTCCTGATGGTCATTGTCTCCAGGATGGATAAGATCTTCTCTGTCAGGTTCTTCCTCTCCTGATATGTCCTGGTGGTCATTGTTTCCAAGATGGATTAGACCTCCTCTGTCAGGTTCTTCCTCTTGATAAATCCTAGTGGTCATTGTCTCCAGGATAGATTAGACTTCCTCTGTCAGGTTCTTCCTCTCAATATGTCCTAGTGTTCATTGTCTCCAAGATGGATTAGACCTCCTCTGTCAGGTTCTTCCTCTCGATATATCCTAGTGGTCATTGTCTCTGGGATGGGTTAGACTTCCTTTGTCAGGTTCTTCCACCCAATATGTCCTGGTGGTCATTGTCTCCAGGATGGATTAGACCTCTTCTGTTCTTTCAGGTTCTTCCTCTCGATATATCCTGGTGGTCGCTATCCCTGTGATTCATTATAATGGAAAATTCAATATGTTACAGGTTGTCACCAGGTCAGGAAGAGAGTAAAAATCTTCCACAAATAGATGTGGATACAAATGACAACTTCAATTAGATTGTAGATTGAGTGTGATGCCTTTTTTCGGATTTAATTAGTAAGGAAAAGGGGAACATGATATTTTTAATGACTTTTGATGTAATTAGAAGGAGGTCCTATTAGAGTTCTTTAATCTTAAACTCTTTAAAAAAAAATAAACAGTTCAGAAACAAAACAAAATTTACATGAAAAATTAGATTTCTGATCTCACAATCAGACCAAAGGAATGCTGGCTTCCCAGGCTCAAGAAGAAGAGCGAATAAGGAGCAGTGTAGACTAAATGTGTCTTTCACTCAGTATAGATCCAGGCTTTGGTGAAAGTAACATGAACCCTCATATTATCCCCCATATATTATCATCCGAATATTGTACAACCAGTACATTCCAGATAATTCTCCATTATCCATTTACAGAGAAACCCTCATGGATCACATGACCACATCAAAAGGGATGGAGGAGGACTGGAGTCACATGCCTGAGAAGATACTAAACCTCACCCTGGAGATCATCTACCTGCTGTCTGGAGAGGTGAGGAGGATTCTGGGAGGTCACATGATATCACTCTCATCTCTATTAATAAAACACAGACCTGACTGGAGAGGTAAGGAGGATTCTGGGAGGTCACATGATATCACTCTCATCTCTATTAATAAAACACAGACCTGACTGGAGAGGTAAGGAGGATTCTGGGAGGTCAGATGACATCACTCTGATCTCTATTAATAAAACACAGACCTGACTGGAGAGGTGAGGAGGATTCTGGGAGGTCACATGACATCACTCTCATCTCTATTAATAAAACACAGACCTGACCGGAGAGGTGAGGAGGATTCTGGGAGTCTAACATGATGTTCCTATTGGTTCCTCAATACAGAGATTTCCTCTTCTGAAGTCAGGTGATCATATGACCATCACAGTGCCTCCATGTGACTCCCTAAACCCTGAGAGACACAACATGCAGAAGATTCTAGAAGTCACCAAGAAGATGATGGAGCTGCTGACAGGAGAGGTGAGCGGTGCCGGGAATTCTGGGACATTCTCCAGTAACAGACAAGGGATGTGTCTGGATGGTGACTGTATCATTGTGTGTGTCAGGTTCCTATAAGGTGTCAGGGTGTCACTGTCTATTTCTCCATGGAGGAGTGGGAGTATTTAGAAGGACACAAGGACCTCTACAAGGACGTCATGATGGACAATCAGCCGCCCCTCACATCACCGGGTAAGAGGAGACTTTATTGGAAAGGAGAGAGCAGTACGGAGGGTCCACCTAGATCCCCCATCATCTGATAAACACATAGAAACAATGGATTCAGTCAGTATGTGTGTTTCTTACAGATGGATCCAGTCATGGGAACCCACTAGAGAGATGTCCCCGTCCTCTGTATTCCACACAGGAAGGTCACACCATCCCTCACCATCATCAGGTAGATGAGGAACAATCACTGATAGTATCATTAGGATCTGTACATTATCTGCATTGTTACCATTGATGTCATTTTATTATATATTCAGAGTGGAAACCTGAGAGATTCTAAAGCTGAGGTCAAAGAAGAGATAAAACAGGAGGAGGATGAGGATGGGGGGATGGAGGAGTCAGAGTTTGTTAAAGATCTGTACCAGGACACCATGGTGGAGTCATCCAGCTACAGAAAACCCACCAGCAAGATGTCCCCGTCCTCTTTATTCCCCAGATTCCACACAGGAAGATCACACCATCCCTCACCATCTTCAGGCACCTGGATTCAATAATAGGAACCCACCAAAGAGATGTCCCCGTCCTCTGTATTCCCGGGATTCCACACAGGAAGGTCACACCATCCCTCACCATCATCAGGTAGTTGGAGTTGTGGGTTGGAAACATAAAGTGATGGAACACTCTGACATGTGGAGACGATGTGTGGACTCTACAAGATGAGATGTTCTATGTGATCTCACATCATAAATCCTTCTATGTTACAGATGTTATTTTCTGCCATTCTGTTGGTTTAGGGTGAAGATCTGATGAACATGAAAGTTGAGGGTGAAGTAGAAGAGACGTATGTGAGGGATAATCCGCAATATATGGAGGAGGCTGGAATGAGGAGGACATTCATAGAGGAGGACACTCCTACAGAGATCAGCACAGGTGACCAGAATATGTTCTTCTCTTATCTCTGCTCTGTTACCGCCCCCCCTCCCAGCCCTTATTGGTTCCTGCTCCTCTGACAAGGTGGTGTAAATGTAGAAGTGATCTGGGAAGAGGAGTAAAGGCCCTTTGACTGAAGAGGGGAGGAGTCCCAGCTGGTTGGGACATCCACAGAGAACATCTGCTCCCTCCTATCTCCCTGATCCAGATGGAATCTTGATGGAAATGAACTAACCCTCTCCTATCTATTGATGATGTTTTTCTATTTTTCCAGGACCCGCCATGGAGAAACCCTCAAAGGATCGTCTCACTTTATCTCCAGGTTGTAAAATGGAAGATGAGGACATCCCAGGAGATTGTGCCGGAGAAAAGACAATGAGCTCCACTATGGATGGTGGACTTCCCAGTGTGGAGAGACCATGGAATCCCTCTGACTCTGAGCAACCTCGTACTGTGGGGGATGGGGCCGGGGTTCAGGAGGAGAAGACATTTTCCTGTCCTGAATGTGCAGAAAGTCTTAGCTCTGAATTAAGTCTTTCTGTACATCAGAGATCTCACACGGGGGAGAATCTTCATTCCTGCTCGGTGTGCGGGGAATCTTTCCTGTATAAATACCATCTTTCTGTACACCAAAGACTGCACACGGGTAAGACGCTTCATTCCTGTCCTGAGTGCAAGAAATGTTTTCCCTATAAATCATCACTGGTCACACATCAGAAATCGCACACGGGTGGGCAGCCCTATTGTTGTCCTGAGTGTGGGGAATCTTTCCTACATAGATACCATCTTACAGTACATCAGAGGTCACATACGGGTCAGAAGATTCATTCCTGTCCAGAGTGCGGGAAAGGTTTTCTTCATCAATCAGAACTGGTCACACATCAGAGGTCCCACACGGGAGAGAAGTTGTATTCCTGTCCTGAGTGCGGGAAATGTTTTTCACAAAAGTCCAATCTTTCTGCACATCAGAGATTGCACACAGGGGGGGAGAAGTTTTATTCTTGTCCTGAGTGTGATCGAACTTTTATTCACAAAATCAGCACTAGTGACGCATCAGAGATCCCACACGGGGGAGAAGCCTTATTCCTGTCCTGAGTGCGGAAAATGTTTTGCACAGAAATGCCATCTTTCCGAACATAGGATCCGCCATGCAGACAAGAGGCTGTATTCCTGCTCCAAGTGTGACAAATGTTTTATATGTAAGACCGATCTTGCTAAACATCTGAGGTCTCACACAGGTGAGAAGCCGTATTCCTGTTCTGAGTGTGGGAAATGTTTTTCGCATAAATTCCGCCTTTCTGTTCATCTGAAATCCCACACGGGCGAAAAGCCATATTCCTGCTCTGAGTGTGGGAAATGTTTTGTATCCAAACCCAATCTTGCTACCCATCTGAGGTCTCACACAGGGGAAAAGCCATATAGCTGTCTGGAGTGCGGGAAATGCTTTTCATGGAAAGTAGCGCTTGTCATACATCAAAGAATTCATGCAGGGGACCGGCCATTTTCGTGCTCCGAGTGCGGGAAATGTTTTGTCATAAAGTCAGATCTTGCTAAACATCAGAGATCTCACACGGGGGAGAAACCGTATTCTTGCATCGAGTGCGGGAAAAGTTATCATCTGAGATCATACCTTGTCACACATCAGATGTCCCACACAGGGGAGAAGCCTCATTCCTGCTCCGAGTGCGGGAAACGTTTTGCATGTAAATCAAACCTTGCTATGCATCAGAGGTCTCACACAGGGGAGAGGCCGTACACCTGTCCTGAGTGCGGGAAATGTTATCAACGGAAATCGCTACTTGTCAGACATCAAAGATCTCATACGGGGGAGAAGCCGTATTCCTGCCCTGAGTGCGGGAAATGTTTTTCGAGGAAATCCCTAGTTTCCAGACATCAGAGGTCCCACACAACTCTCAAGATATAGTAGGATCCTGAGTGAAGGAAGTGTCTTCTGTATAGAAAGTATTAAGCCGTACATCGCGGATGTCAAAGTGGCTGAGGGCGCATGTCGCTGCTTCAATCCCACTTGGAGGTCTGATCTTCCCTGCAAAGGAAGAATTTGTGATGGGAGAAGCTAGAAACTACAGGGCTCAAAAAAACGAACTTTGTAATCCGAGTCTAACATGAAGTCGATGAAACTCCTGGGATATGGATCTGGTCAGGTAAGTAGCAGAGGGGGTTGTTCATCAGTTTCAGCTGCTTTGGTGTTCATGAAATGAACAACAGGTGCACTGGATGGGCAACATTGAGACGACCCCCAAAACAGGAATGGTTTTACAGGTGGAGGCCACTGACATTTTTTTCCCTACTCATCTTTTCTGACTGTTCTTCACTCGTTTTGCATTTGGCTAGGGTCAGTGTCACTACTGGTAGCATGAGGCCATACCTGGACCCTACAGAGGTTGCACAGGCAGTCCAACTCCTCCAGGATGGCACATCAATATGTGTCATTGCCAGAAGGTTTGCTGTGTCTCCCAGCACAGTCTCAAGAGCATGGAGGAGATTCTAGGAGACAGGCAATTCCTCTAGGAGAGCTGGACAGGGCCGTAGAAGGTCCTTCACCCATCAGCAGGACCGGTATCTGCTCCTTTGTGCAAGGAGGAACAGGATGAGCCCTGCCAGAGCCCTACAAAATGACCTCCAGCAGGCCACTGGTGGGAATGTTTCTGACCAGACAATCAGAAACAGACTTCATGAGGGTGGCCTGAGGGCTCTTCACAGATGAGAGCAAGTTCCCCCTGAGCACGTGACAGACGTGAAAGGGTCTGGAGAAGCCATGGAGAACGTTCTGCTGCCTGTAACATGGTTCAGCATGACCGTTTTTTCGTGGTGGGTCAGTGATGGTCTGGGGAGGTATATCCATGGAGGGACACACAGACCTCCACAGGCTAGACAATGGTACCCTGACTGCTATTAGGTATCGGGATGAGATCCTTGGACCCATTGTCAGACCTTACGCTGGTGCAGTGGGTCCTGGGCTCCTCCTGGTGCAGTGGGTCCTTGGTTCTTGGTGCGGTGGGTCCTGGGTTTCCTCCTGGTGCAGTGGTCCTGGGTTCCTCCTGGTGCACAACAATGCCCGGCCTCATGTGGGGAGAGTATGCAGGCAGTTCCTGGAGGATGAAGGAATTGATACCATTGAATGGCCCCCACGCTCTCCTGACCTAAATCCAATAGAACCCCTCTGGGATGTCATGTTTCAGTTCATCCGACGCTGCCAGGTTGCACCTCAGACTGTTCAGGAGCTCAGTGATGCCCTGGTCCAGATCTGGGAGGAAATCCCACAGGACACCATCCGTGGTCTCATTAGGAGCCCCCCGCAACATTGTCAGGCATGCATACAAGCATGTGGGGGCCACACAGACTACTGAGGACCATTCTGAGTTGCTGCAATGACATTTCAGCACAATGGACTCGCCTGCTGCATCATTTCTTCACTTTGATTTTTGGGGTGTCTTTGATGGAAATGAAAATGATCGACCTACAGAGGACTGAATTCAAACGATGGAGCGTCCATACGTTCCTCACACATGACCCCCATGTCAGGATAGAGATCCAGCAGGAGATTTGTCCCCATTCAGACCACTTCTTCAGGAGATTCCTCTCCATTGAGATCTGATGGGTTTTCAAAGTCTTCCTTTCATTTTTTCAAGCCGTGTACTTGTGGATGAAGAGCAGGGAGATCAGACTACGCAGCTTGACTAACCCATTCAGTACTGTAGTTATCAGCCAGCACAGTCAGTTGCATTTGCTTGGAGAGTGCCACCTGCTGGCTGAAAGTGGTGAATATGGCATTTTTTACATGTAGCATTTCACATTTACCTGGTCATGAACGCAGATATGTTACACAGTATATTGTTACTATGAAATAAATGAATACAAACAAATATATATCGTTTGTACGTTGATTATTAACCCCTTGGCACCTCCCGACCCTTTAAGGGTGACGCCGCGGGGCGGAGTTTAGGGTCATGTGATTGGCTGCCACAATGGTCACATCATCGGAAAGGCCCCAATCGGAAGTAGTGATCGGGACCTTTCCACGAGGCACCGGTAAATGTGTTGGGAGGGCGTGTGCTCTCGACCCATGCGTGTTTACTTTGGGTATGCAAATATGGGGTGTCAAGGCCCAGCCACCAGGTCGGAGGTCGGCCAGCAACAGGTTAAAATAGTGAATTCAGATTTGTATTTTGAGGCTGATGATGTCACTGGGTAGGTGCTGGCACCCGCTGCTTCCTCAACGACCACTGACCGTCGAAGAAGGAAGCTGTCCTATATAGAAGCGGGAGCAAGAACAGGGCGGATGAATATAAAAATGAGAGGTCACTTCCTATGTCATCTTATATTGCCTGGAAAAAGAAGCACACAGGGGGCGCAAAAAAGCCTGTAAAGCCATCGAGATGACCCAACATGGTAGCAGAGTTACCAACTGAGCTTTGAGGAAGGGGGCACGTCCCTGAAATGCGTCAGCAGGCCGACTTCAATACCATTTGGGAACTCTGCTACCATGTTGGGTCATCTCAGTGGCTTTACAGGCTTCCATGGAAGCCTAAAAGCCTTGTAAATCCACTGAGATGACCCAACATGGTGGCAGAGTTCTCAACTATTATTGAAGTCGGCCTGCTGACACATTTCAGGGACGTGCCCCCTTCCTCAAAGCTCAGTTGGTAACTCTGCTACCATGTTAGGTCATCTCAATGACTTTATAGGCTTTTAGGCTTCCATGGAAGCCGTAAAGCCACTGAGATGACCCAACGTGGTAGCAGATTTCCCAACTGGTATTGAAGTCGGCCTGCTTATGCGTTTCAGGGACATGCCCCCTTCCTCAAAGCTCAGTTGATAACTCTGCTACCATGTTGGGTCATCTCAGTGGCTTTACAGGCTTTTAGGCTTCCATGGAAGCCGTAAAGCCACTGAGATGACCCAACGTGGTAGCAGAGTTCCCAACTGGTATTGAAGTCGGCCTGCTTACACGTTTCTGGGACGTGTCCCCTTCCTCAAAGCTTAGTTGATAACTCTGCTACCATGTTGGGTTATCTCAGTGGCATTACAGGCTTTTAGGCTTCCATGTTTGTGAGTATGCTATCGCTTTTTTATACTCTTAAATAAACCTTTGATCCCCCAAGTCAGAGGAGGGCCGCACCACCAAGACCTTGTTCCAAGGCTAGTTGTACTTCTGACTCTCTCGCCCATTGTCTGATTTCCCGGGTCGGTCCCTTTGGAGCACTGGAGAGGTGGTTCTTTTATCTCATATTGCCTATCCTACTTCAATGAGAGGATCAGGATGTCTTTCGGATCTTGGATAAAAACAAGTAAAAAGAGAGCTTATCCCCCATTATTAGGGGGTGCTGTGCACAAAACATTCCTGGTATAATTAGACTCATCACATAGACCAGGCATGATGAGACTAGGATGATCTTAGTGACAAATATGGGGAAAAGGGTCATTATTGGGGCTTTGAGAACTGGCAGCTTTGTACAATAACTCCCCGCTATCATTAGACCACGTAGACTAGGCATTCATATATTTCTGTCCCCCTTGGTGGTGGAAGTGGAGATGACCCATCTATGAGGATATACAGTCCATACACACCAAGCACAAGGCTCACACTACGAGATGTTTCTCGAGGCTGTAGTTCCTCTGAGCTCCACAAGGGTGGTAATCTTACTTCTGTATTGGTTGAGCACATTAGGCACATGGAAGCTGTAGGAGACAGCCATCTTGCTTAGGTCTCAACCATTTTTTTTTTTCATGAGCCCAGTGATCTTATCCCTCTCCCTCCTCCTGCAATATATGGAATCCACAGCCTTAACTTTTAACACACTTCGAAAGAGCCTGCTACCTGAGCATAGGGACAGTAGACACCAGCACACAGGCCTTTGCCAGAGCTGTAACAGCTAATTGAGTCCTGGCAGGAGGCCTGTTAGTTTCTAATGGCCATAAAAAAAAATTAAAAAAAAACTTCTACAGCTTATCACTTTCCGGAGGGGATGGGAAGTGACCTCTTGTAAAACTATGAAAGGTCCTTCAGGCAATTAAAGCTCTAGGAATGCATAGCTTGCCATAAAACGTCTACGCAGAAAGCAGCCAGGCGTGGG